TCTTTCTTTCTTTCTTTCTTTCTTTCTTTCTTTCTTTCTTTCTTCTTTCTTTCTTTCTTTTTTTTCTTAAAATATGTTTTAGTTCCAGGACTATAGGGTCTCAGATCTGACTACTAGTGATCCTCCTGTTTTCAGCCTCCCAAGAGCTGGGATTTCAGGCATGCACCACCATGCCCAGTTTCAGTCGCAATCTCAGCATGCCCCAGAGGAGGGGCTGGCACAGCATGCTGGGGATTGCACCCAGGCCGCTGAGTCCGCCTAACCAGCTCTTTAGTCAGCTGAGTTATCTGACTGGCTTTGACATTACCATTTCTAAAGAAAGAAAAGAGACAGGTGAATGGTGACTAGTCCCAGTAAGTCCAAAACTCATCAAATAAAACAATGTAGGACTTTTGTTCTATACTGCAAGTAACTGAAATGAACAGCTATGCACTTGGGGATTCCACAGAGGCGATAAAACTCTACTAAGGGGTAGGGTGCTGGATCTATGGCCCCAGAGAGAGGCAGCCTATCCCAGGCGCTGATCACCAAGTCCTGCTGAGTTACTCTTAGTGTCTTAATTTACTTGCTATTTTGCTCACTCTTATGTGTGGATTTACTGAGCTCTTACTGTGAGCCAGGCCCTGTGTTTGGCATAGTGCTCAGGGAAATGTAGCATTGACATGGACACTGCCAACAGGGACAGGCAATGATGCAAAGTTTTCAAGTGGCACTAGGTAGGATTTCACACAACTGTAGTCCCAGCATTCTGGTGGCTTAGGCAAGATAATCACTGTGAGTTTGAGGACATCCTGGACTACAGGGCAAAATGCTGTTTTAGAAAAATAAACCTTATGGTAGGAATGTGATCTTGTCTCCTTGAAGGTCTAGCAAGATCTCTCAGGAGAAATGATATTTGGCTGGACACCTAAGAAACAATAAGAATGATGAGGGTGGGTGAACAGTACCTAAGGGACAGTCCATTTGGATCTTACTGTGCCCCAAACTTTTCCTGCAAGAAATATGAAACATTTGCTGTATAGAATAATTAGCAATGCTGGGTGTAATGGTGTATACCTGTTGTCCTGTGCTTCTGACACTGATGCAGGAGAGTTGCTGTGAATCTAAGACCAGCTGGGCCATCTAGTGAGTTCAAGGCCAGCCTTCTGTATAAACCTAAATTTTCAGAAAAGATGTGTAGGAAGATGTGAAATATGAAATTCCAAAGGAAAAGAAAAAGAAAGGGAACAAAGATAAAAAATAAGTTGGGTTGTTTGTTTGTCTTTTTGAGACAGGATCTCCCTGTATATTTCATTTTGGCTTTAAAATTGCTATGTAGTCTAGGTTAACTTCAGATTTGCAGTAATCTTCCTTACTCAGCCTTCCATGAGCTTGGATTATATACCTGCATCACCCTGCCCAGTTCAAAAATAATCTTGGAAAGGTAAAAAATCTCAAGATCCTTAGAAAAAGTACACTACATGTTTGGATGAGATTTTCTGGCTGCTTCTTTTGCTGTGGATGACCGCTGAGAAGATAACAATGTGCAATGTATTTTTTAAAAATGTTTGTATTTTAAAAATTTTGATATTTTTATTAGTACATCTTTACAGTTCATGCAGTTTACAATCATTAGGGAGTGGTTATATGTATACACCACAGCTTGTTTTTCTTATTTATTTATTTATTTTGCGGAACTGGAGATTGAACTCAGGCCCTTGTGCTTGCCAGGGAAGCGCTTATTCCACTGAACCATCTCCCCGGCCCCATGTGCAATGTTTTAATTACTGAAAATGTCTTATTAATCAGCTTAGAAAGTTTCTCATTGATATTTATTTCTCGGTAAAATAAAAAAAGAAAAAGTACACTACAAAAGGCAACACTTTATCAACAAGTGCTTTATGTGAAAAGTTGTGTTTTATAATGATATGGAGATGGTCACCCAAAGAGCAGTATTTTAACATGTAAAATTGCTAATTGTAGAAATTTTATATCTTCAAAGTATTCATGTCCATCTTCTATTCACAGTAGTCAAAAACTTACATTCACTCCAAAAGAATCTATCATTTTTCTGCATGAAAAATATCCAGATCAAAAAAAAAACAAAAAACAAAAAAACCAAAAAGGGGCCAGGGAGATGGCTCAGTAGAATAAGCGCTTGCCTGGCAAGCACAAGGGCCTGAGTTCAATCCCCAGTTCTGAAAAAAAAAAAAAATCCAGATCCATCCCCAAATATTAGAAACCCTCATTTCATTTTTGCATCAACTCAGGCTTGCTTAGAAATGTTAAAATATTGTGAAATTAGAGAAAATTGATTGTATAATTCAAATACTAAGAATTCCTAAACACTGTAGGTTGTCTTTGCTATTCTGGCCTTGCCTAAGGGGATTCCATCCTACTCATGACAGTTAATTGTGGTAAATGCCCTGCCTTGAGGAAGAATTGTGCAGCAGATTAATGCAGTACAGTTCCAGGTTGTGCTGCAGGTGACTGATATGTGGGCCATCAAACTGAGGGAGGAAAACCCACCTCAGATGTGGTAGCATCAACCAATAGGCTTGCAGCCTAGAACAAATAAAAGGGCAAAGATAGAAGTATCTTTGTTTCAGAAGAGCTCCCATTTTCTCCATCACATTTGGAGGTCAGTTTTCAGGTTCTTCAGTCTCCTACTGCAGTCCTCTGATGACAATTGTACAGTGAGTTTCCAGGACTTAGAATTTTGATTAGTGCTGAATCATTCATCTGGACAATACCCACATTTGGGCAAAAGTTCACACAGCTACACTGTGGACACCAGAGCTGCCTGGGAGATCAACTCTAGGCTTGCTTAGGCACAAATGAAGGCTTCCAGAGAGTATTTTCAGATATCTATTTCAAGCCCCAGACTGCTGAGTTAAGCAGCTTAGAATTAACCAGGCCCTCACCAAACCTACTCAACAAGCAGCACCTACATTTGAGTCAAGCTCCAGGCTGCATACATGTTGTACCTTTGAGATCCAAGCTGGTTGTTGCATAAGACCACCAAAGCTTAGGATTCAGTCTTCTCTCTGGGCTGGTTACCTCTCTCTTCTTGCCTGTTTCATGTGCATAGTTTGGATGTGGTTCACACGTAACCCCACAGGTTTAAATATTGAAATCTTGGGCCCCTTGGTTCTGTGTTTAGAGGTGGATTAACTTTTGAAAAAAGGGGCCTAGAGGAAGGTAATTAGATCTGTGGACACCACCCTTAGAATGGATCAATGCTGGACTTTAAGACCAAGCTAGTTCTTAAGAAAGTGGATTATTGTAAAGCAATGCTACCCCCATGCTTGGGCCCTTCTTGCATGTTTCAGGTTCCTTTTTTCCTCTTTTACTATAGGAAACCATCTGCAGAGGATGATTGTACTGCCTGGTCTTGACCTGTCAGTCTCTGTAACTCTGAGCTAAGTAAATTTCTTTAGTTTATAAAGTCCTACCCAGTCCTTCTCCTGTGTTCTCCCTCCAGTACTTAGTCCCCAGTGCCAAAATGATATTAATAAATAGGTCATTGATCAGAAAAATATCTGTTGATAACAAAGAGCAAATAACCATAGGATTCTCAGAGTGCAGTCTCTATGTAGGGAGGACAAAGAGGACAAAGGAGCTGTCTGTTACTCTTGTGCCCCAACACTCTCACTGAAGTGAATGTTTACTAGTTATTAGTTGCTAGAAGTAAATGTTTAGTCTGGCATGGTAGCATAGTCCTACAATATTAGCCACTTCCAAGGCTGAGTCAAATAAAGCACAAATTCAAAGCCACCCTAGGCACCTTAGCATGAGCCTGTGTCAAAATGAAAAATGGTTGGACAGTAGCAAACAGCAGAGGTCCAGGGTTCAATCCTCACTCTGGCAAATAAGTACATATTAAAAGTAGGTAATGAGGGCCCAGGGAGATGGCTCAGTAGAGTAAGCACTTGCCTGGCAAGTGCAAGGGGCTGAGTTCAACCCCTGGTTCTGAAAAAAAAAGTATGTAATAAATTCTGAAACTATGTCTGCCAAGCAGTAGCACAGAGCCTAGTAATCACCAGATTTTGCTTAGAATTAATAAAATAAACAACATTTTTATGCCTTGAATGTATTAACTGTGATCTGAAAATGCTCAGCTATAATAAAAATTTTATGTAATCCCACTGCCTTGGGGGCTGAAAACAGGAGGAACACTATGACTCTGATCTGTGTTGTGAGAACCTGAGGACCTTGTACTAAATACATAAAAAATTAATACTGAACATTTACCATTCAGGAAAGGAGCCTGACGTAGGTATGATTCCATTGTAAATGAAGAAATCAAGGGGCTGGGGAAATAGCTTAGTAGAATAAGTACTTGCCTGGCAAGCACAAGGGCCTGAGTTCAACCCCCAGTTCCGAAAAAAAAAATCAAGAATTTTCTGTTTTGCACAATTATTCTATTTTAGAGACAGGGTCTCCATGTATAGCCCAGAATGGCCTCAAACTCATGATGATCCACCTACCTTAAGCTCCCTGATGCCAGGATTATTAGTATATTGATCATGCATAAGAAATCTTTTCATCACACAAAAATAGGGCACGTACGTCTCACTTTATTACCATGTTTACTTTCCCATTTTTTGCTGCCCCAGTAAACAGCCTTCACTGCCTCTGCTTTCTCCTTTTTCCTCTGTTTGCCCTACAACTGACTCAGGTCAATCTTTGTTCTCTATGCTGATAGCAACAAAATCTTTTTGATTGGTGCCACTGCCCTTTTTCTCTGATTTCTAGGAGCATACCCTTTATGGAGCAGAGTATAGTAAAATTCTACATCTGAGGCTCACACCCAGACAGTTCTGCAAGCCCTGTCATCTTTTTCAGGTACCGGGTCTCATTTACTTGCACCAGAGGCAGGACACCTGTGACAATCTGACTGCAGCCAAACAGAGGGCAGGATCATGTCCTTACACACTGATCTTCCCACCCAGCCTCTGAGACCAAAAGCAGACTTTGCTTGCCCAGTCCACCAGGGGTTTGGTCCATCTGTGTCTCACCTGCTGGAAAGACTTGAGCAGTCCTTTTCTGTCCATCTGCAGAAGGTTCCCCAGGAAGGGAAGAGGACGTGGGCCTGATGGGAGATGGCCATGGGTCTTTGAGTGGCCCTTGAACAGGAGAAGTAAGAGCCCTGTGAGGACAGAAAGAAGCAAAAAGATGCTGAGGCCCATGGTTTTTGGTCTCACTGCCATCCACCCCTGTGCAGTCTCAAGCTGAGGCTTATATCCTCTGCCTGTGATCTTACCTCATTATGCAACTTCACCAATTCCTACCTTCTCTATACTCCATCTCTTGGGTGTAATTCTAGAAGAGAGTTAGCAGGTAGCCACTCCTCCTGCTCAGGCAGTCCAGGACCATGCTCACTCCCCAGCATTTTAGCCCCTCCTAAGATGTTGGCAGAGATGCTGTGCAAGAGAGGCACAGGTGCACAGGAGTGTGTGTCTGCATGCTGGGTGTCTACATAGTCAATTTTCTGAGTGCTCATTTGTCCATTGAGTTTAGTCTGTCCAGGATTGCTCCTTACTGTGTATGCTTGTGAGTTTTTATTTTATATCAAGGGTTACTTTATATGTTGATGTGAATGTGTAGTTATGTATTTCTACAGATCGATCCTGGTGTACTTCTGTGTACATTCTTGCATGTGTGGGTGCATCTGTGTGTTTATTTGGTTTCACCTATGAAGATGTGTTTGTCTTTAATAGGAGAGATGGTAGGAACTTCTGCTAGTGTTGGTGAGTCTGCATGTGCTGGCTGTACTTGTCCCAGTTCTCTGATTACTCCCATTAATGCAGAGGGGTTCCCACTAGACCTTTGGCTGTCTTCACTTGGAAGGCTTTCTCTGTTTCTGTCTCTCTCTATCTCTATCTCTCACTCTGTGTTCATCTTACTTTTGAGATCTTAAGATAGCTTCTGCCTTGTTCTGTTGTCTGTTGTAGCAGAATCCCAGAGACTGGGTAATTGACAATGAGTTGAAATTCATATGGCTTATACATCCTGGAGCTGGACTTTTAAGTTCGTGTGATTGCATCTGGCACGGGCCTTTTGGCTGTGTCACTATACTGCTGAATAACATGGAGAATGCCGAAGACAGGGAGGAGGCATAGAACACATTCCCTGCCTCACTCCCACAGTCCATCCATGAGAACAGAGTCCTGTTTACCTAATCAGCTCTTATATTTTTCAAAGTTTCACCTTATATGGGAAAGTAAACAAGGAAAACCACTATGGAAATTGGTATGGAGGTTCTTTAAGGAATTAAAACTAGAAATTCCATTGGACCCAGCCATTCACCTTCTATATATCTTCCATACAAGTTAAAGATATCATATCACAGTGATATATGCATATCCATGCTTATCACAACACTTTTCATAATAGATGAATCTTGAAAACAGCCTATATTGATCAACAGAGGAATGAATGAAGAAAATTGATGAGCTAGCACCCTCAACCTAGTTAGGACCCTTACCCTCACTCAATGTTCATTTCCTTTTGGCCCTGCAATGGGGCCAAAACTGCAGAACAGGTCTGACAGACTTTGACTAGGCAAAAAACCACAGAACCTTCTTAGAATATCAGAATTTCCCCCAGCAGACCAGGTGACCCTGCAGAATTATCCCTACATAGGCTGTTTCAGGCTGCACACACTATCCCACAAAACCCCTTAAGTATCCTGTACTTGCCTTGTTCATTGCTGCCTTGTTCTTCTAGACAGCCAGTTTGCTTGCTCTTACCTACAGTAAAGCCTCTTCTCATGTCAGAATACTTGGTCTGGTTGAAAATGTAGCATGTACACACAATGGAGAACTACTCTGAATCATTTGTAGAAAAATGGGTGCACTTTGAAACCACAATGCTAAGTGAAATAAATAAAACATACATCTTTAAAAATTACTGTTTCTCTTACATGAGACACCAGAATATAAACAACATAAAGGACAGATGGTAAGAGGGCTGAACATATAGTCAGTTGTGCAGCACCTACTTGGCAAACATAAGGACCTGAGTTGAACTCCAGGTACAAAAAAAAGGGAGTGGGGGTGAGATGAGATATGGGTGGAAATGGAGCAGCAGCAGTACCATTCCTACCATCTCAGGCAAATACTTGCTGGACTCAAGACTCTGACCCCACAGTTGGGTTATACTATCTTGATCCAGGAGGAGGGGCAGAGAAACACAATCAACTAGATGTAAAGTTCATACTTTCCTGACCTTGAAGTGGTGCCTCCACAGACTTTCTTGATCACAGGACTTTGCTCCCTCTGGGCCTCATCAACTGATGCTGAGAATGAAACTTCATCCCAATCTGGGACATCCTGGTAGAAAGGCATGAACACTTGACACAAAGTCCTCACACTTTGAAGAAGGTATTGACGGCCTCCTCCAATACATAGATTGGAATAGTGAAGCCCAAACAAGTTGATAGTCCCACTAAGGTCACACAGTGGGAGAGAGAGGTATATCTGTTGGATGTGCTAATGAATGGACATATGTGACCACTACCCACTTGTGATGTGACAAATTCAGTTGTTTGGTTGTTTTCTTCAGTTCTGTTTTTTCTTTTTTGAAAGTGTCTTTCTATGTAGTTTAACCAGTCCTTGAAAGTAGCCCAGGCTGGCCTCCAGCTCCTAGCAATCCTCCTGCCTCAGTTTCTCATGTGTTGGAGTTGCAAGTATGCACCACCACACCCAGCTCAACAAAATTTATAGTTTAAATTTAATTTAGATATTGGAAAACTTATGTAGGCTTGCAAACAACCTAGAAGTATGCATTATCTTTTTCACTGGTTAAGTTCTTAAAAATCAAAAAACAAATCCAGGATTTCTAAAGAAAATGGAGGGTCCCTATGATAAATAGGTTATAATTACAAAAGTACACACCAAATTTCAAAGACATGATGTTTAAGAGAAAAGATATACTGAAGGGAAGAAGCAGAAAAAGAAAGAAATGCAGACACACAAAAGATAAATGTGGGTTATAATATAGAGACAGAGACAGAGAAAAGGAACCAAGAGACCCTGAGAGGGAGGCACACACTCAAAGACACAAGAATAATGAGTGTTATAGCATTGCAATTTTTCTGCCCATCAGTGCAGCTGAGGCCCATTGGAAGCCTCTCACCCAACATAGCCATCCTTGTCTTATCAGCCTGCTAGTGGTGTTTTATTCTCTACTGGCCTAACTTCTAACCCATGTGCTTGCAGACATGAGTTTAGACTTCTCATGGGCACTGTCCATAGCCCACAAGCTTCCCACAACTGTCTGCTGCAGCTATTGCACACCAGAAACTCTGAAGCAAATTTATTTTGTCACAATCAGTGTTAAATAATTAATCCCTTCCCCAAATGGCTCCTGTTTCAGTCCCCTCAAATACAGCAGTTGTCACACTGGATTTCTTCTCCAGCTTAAAACTGCTCTGTGGCAGGAATCACTTTTGTAATAAAAGCCCCTTGAAGTCTGTGCAGTTTCCAGTAGGGCTAGAACTGCAGGCCCAGTCAGTTGTTTTTCCCTGTAGCTGCTGGCACTGCCTCCATGTTTATCTTCTCTCTGTGCTAGAGCAGACCTCATCAATCATCAGTTTAGCTGGTAGGTAGGTTAGCACCTTGCTTCTTGTATTGAAAACAAAATATAGGGCAGGGTTGGTGTTGGTAGGCAGCATGGACCAAGGCATCATAACCATGGGCTCCAGAACTTCACTATCTTTAAGCTACCTCTGGCTGTATATGTTATCTTGAGCAGAGTCTGGTTAAATTTTTCCTTTCATCAATTTTTAAGTTGAATTGTTTTTCAGCTACTGATTATTCTATGTTTTAAATTCAAGTCCCTTTCTAGATATGTGATTTTAAGATGTTTTGTCCTACTTTCAGTCTTGTCTTTTTATTGTCTGAATAGTGTATTTCAAGGATCAACAATTTGTTTTAACTTTGACTAAATTTATTATTATTATTATTATTAATTTATTTTTGTGGAATGGGGATTGAACTCACACACTTGCACTTGCCAGGGAAGCGCTTATTCCACTGAGCCATCTCCCGGGACCCTGACTAAATTTATTACTATTTCTATGCCTCACAAAATTTAATGTTTTTGCTGAACCCCAAAACACAGATGTCATCCTGTGTCTTTCAGTAATTTTATAATTTGAGGTTTCACCTAGGCCTACTTAGAGTCAATTTTTGCCCAAAGTGGCAGATTCGGATGAAAGTTCATCCTTTGCTATATGATCTCTGCCTTCATGACCTGTAGGAATTTTCTGTCTTTCTATATTATTTATCCTCTTTTGGAGCAGACTTATACACAGAAATGGAGAGAGGAACAGCCAAGGAAGATGATAGAGATACAGTTGTTGAGCCTTAGAGGCAGGTGTGGCACAGGTGGGGAGAAACCAATAAAAGGGATCTGGGGGCATCAGAGCTATGCAAAGGTTGTCTTGAATTCTATCTCTCTCTGAGGGGCCACTGCCATCCATGTCTCTTTATAATATGTTACTCAGTGTCTGAGAACCTTTTCCCATTCTTTGTTAACCTTCTCTGCCTATCTCTGTATCTCCATGTCTCTTTGTCTATGTCTCAATCATTCTCTGTCTCTCTGTCTCTGTTGCTGTATTCTCCCATCTATGTTCCCTCCTTTAGACGGTAGATTCAGAAGCACAGAGTTGGATCCCATGGTACAATTGTCCGTCAAGCTTAGGTTTGTCTGTAATGTCACAGAGTCACTCCACATTCATGATAGGAAGTCAAAGTAGTGCTTCATCTGAGTCTGAAAATAAAAAACACCAGGCCCAGCCTCTCCACCTATTCCTATGACTGTCTGAGTTCATTACAGGAAAAGAAAATTTATCTGTCCATGCCTAAGCTTGGAGTGCTGCCATTACAGACTTTCCTGACCCCAAGAACGTGGTCCTACTCAGCTGAATTATCTGAGACTTACTGTGGATCATCTGTTAAGCCCTAAAAAGTCAAATAGGAAGCCACGAAGTGTTTCACGGGAATAATTTACCAAGTCTCATACTTTTGAGGAGATATTGTTGTACTACACTTTTGTAGATGTTGTAGAATCAAGAACAGAATGACTAAAAGTCTTACCTGAATCACACACTCAGTTAGAGTTACATTTTTCAATGGGTAATGCCTTTCCACATGTGGTTATTCAACATTTAAAATGTGGAATG